TGATGTCGCCGTTTGCAGAAGGAAAAACTAATCTCTATGCTGCCCAGATGAAGACATCTCCAGTGTTTATCAGCTCCGCGGAGCCTGCCCAGAATGCAAACCGCTTGCTTTTGTTTGAGCCCAGCCAAATTGCGCTGGCCCTTTATAATTAGTTTGAGATAAGTCAGGACATGCTATTAAATGATTAGATGACCTTTTCTCTGAGTGGGGACTTCAGCCTGCTGGGCTGCTTTTTAGGAAAGAAGTTATTGGATTTCTAAAGGAGAGAAGGCAGAGCCTGCGAGGGAGCAAGCGGGGCTGGAAATGTGCAGAGCAGCGGAAATTTGAACAATTGGGGAAAGTGTCCTAAATTAACAAGAACAAAAGAAGCCTCCAGAAAGGACATCGTGTCCGAGTCCTCTGGACACCGAAAACACCCAAATCCCAGCTATTTCCATGCCAACTTACGCCACGGCTGGGAGGAAAACAGAAATAGCTCTTGCAGCTGGAAGAGGGGTGCGGGGCAACAAGAACCCGAATAATTCCTGTCAGGTTATGGGTCTGTTGGTGCCTGGTCCACGGTGCGATGGAGAGCGGTTTGGTCCCACAGAACAGGGTTTGTCCTGAGGCTTCATCCCAAAGTGAGGGTGTCAGTGGTGCCTGTGCTGCCCACCGAAAGAGCAGGGCTCACCCTGCCAGCCGCAGTTGTGGTGCGGGGTGGGAGAAGGGGAACCAGTCACACGTCTTTCAGATGTGTTCTGCTTGCTGAGTCCCAGTGTTAACCTTCTGGGTTTGGTTTTCTAAGCCTTGAATTGTGGTCGGGCATTTGACATTCTTGATGATTCCCTGGATGTGTTGAAGTGGTGAGAGCAGCCACCCCAGCCCTGCCAAGCCTGCTCTTCCTCCATCCTCTGCAAATCAGAGCTGGTCCCTGTGTCCCCAGTCTGGTTTTTGGATGCTGTGGGGACACCAGGTGAGCTTTGGGTGCTGTGCCGTGTGTCTCTGCTGTGTCAGTTTGCCCTATGGGAGCATTGCTGGAGCTCAGCATCGCTCAGCAAAGCACGGGGGACCCCTCCAGGAGACCAGCACTGCCATGGGGGTTCCTTTTGGCTTCCCATCCCTTGACTTTTTGGGTGTCCTTGCGCCTCCCTCTCTCTCTCTGATCATCAGGACGGTTTAAACAGAGGGGTTTACTGCCAGCCCTACAGGGGAGGTGTTTGCCACTGGGGACGTTGTCTGGGTGGCACTGGGTGATGGACAGGGTGGTGGGGAGCATCCTCTGCCCTCGGGAGAGGCAGCGACCAGGATCCCTGGGGATCCACAGAGTCATGTGACGAGGATCCCTGGGCATCCGTGAAGTCATGTGACAGGGATCCCTGGGGATCCGTGAAGTCATGTGACCAGGATCCCTGGGGATCCACAAAGTCATGTGACGAGGATCCCTGGGGACCCGTGAAGTCACATGATGAAGATCCCTGGTGATCCACAAAGTCACGTGATGAGGATCCCTGGGGATCCGTGAAGTCACGTGACAGGGATCCCTGGGGATCCGTGAGGTCAGCCAAGGCCAGGCTGAGTCCCCGGCAGCTTCTGCTGAGGAGAGCAGACCTTGCACGGAGCGTTGGGGCGGCTCTGCACTCTGCTGTGCACTTACTGCGTGTTTTAATGGCTCCTACCTTGCAGAAAGGGCAGCATTTCAACGCCAAGAGTCGTTTTTCCCCGCCCGTTAACTTCTTTGGCACCACCTGGGCCAACGGTCCTCGTTAGTCCCCTCTCGATTAGTGCCATAGCTGGGGCTGCGGAGCGCAGCCCGGGGCTGTCCCAGATTCGGTGGTGACAACCCAGGCGCTGTCACCATCAGGGGTCCTATAAAGCGAGATCAAACCGGAGATGTGAAATGCACGTCTGCCCCGAATCGCAGCCGTTGGAGGCCCCATAAAGCGAGATCAAACTGGGAGACCTGAAATGCACGTCTCCTGCCCCGAATCACAACCGTCAGGGCCCCATAAAGCCAGATCAAACCGGGGGATGTGCAATGTGCATCCCTGCCCTGAATCGCAGCCCAGAGCCCGTGTGCAGGGAGGCAGGGCAGCGTCACACAGAGGGGCTGGCAGAGCCCAGCACTCAGGGTATCTGGGGCTCTCTTAAATCTTTGATGTGCCGCGTCTTGAGCAGCGCGCTGCCATGAGACGCCTGCCTTCTGCTTCTGGAGCTGGCAGCGTTTTTGCTAATGGCTGTGTTTAACCACCCAAAATTTCCGTTGTGCAGAATGAGGACAGAGTCGCCTCTGCTTTCTGCTTCCTTGCGTTGCTTCGTGTGGTAGAGCCGCTTGAAAATGGATGAATTTTGAAGCACCGCTCTGACCTGTTACCAGGTGGATGTTTATTCCGTCCCCGGGAACAGATGCAGAGATGGGCATTGGGGCGCTGCAGTCCCATGCGTGGGGTGTGTTTCTGTACATGGGGGCATCACCAAAGGAGCAGCACCCGCATTGGTCCCGTGAGATCCCTGCCAGGACCTGTATTAACGTGCTCATTAATGGCTGTGGTTAATTACAGCGGTACAACCAGAACAGCGCCCCAGCTCGTCCCATGTGCCCTGGCATTTCGGGGGCCATCGACGCCCACGTTGGTGGTTTTGTTCCAGAAAACAGAGAGCAACGATTTCCAGAGTGCCTGAAACTGGCACCGCTTTAGTGTGCAGGCGATGCTGTGCCACTGCAGAAAACTATTTGGTATGATTACAGGGTACAAGAAGTTTTCATCGTTTTTCTCATTTATTAGGCTGGGTTTACATTTTCCCTGCAGAGGAACGAGGAGCAAATGACATAAATATAAAATGCAGTGCCTGTTAGGATATTGAAAAAAACCAACAAACCAGATGTAGAAATTAATGAGCTCTTGCCGTTATGTGAGATGAACTGAGACGGGGAGGGAGCGTGGTTCAGTGCCTGTTATTCAGAGGCTTGTTTTTAGAGAAGTTACACAGCAGTGACCGTGCTTTAAAGGGATATTGTTAGGTCTTTTCTGCTCCAGGACTTTGTAAAATACAAAGCTATTTTTGCCTGGTTTATTAAGTGCAACCACTTTATCCTGCTTTTTGCAGGGGCTGGATCCTGCTGGTGCGGTCGGTAGTTCGTTATTATGAAAACCTGCGCAAAGCAGGGGCTGTACCTTAGGTTTTTGTGTATGAATCGCCCCTGGCAGCTACAGCCCATGAGCTTTGCACGCCCTCGGCACCAGAGGGGACCGTGGATGGGGGTACCCGCTCTCGCCCCATGGCTGGGAGGCCCCAGATGTGCCCGGCTGTGGCCGAGCTGCTCCCATGCTGAGCAACTCCAACCCAGGGAACGCTGGATCAAGCCTTTACCCCATCTGAGCGCTCCTGGGGGTATTTCAATACCTCATTTTCCATTCTTACCGCAACTGTAAGGATGACTGCAAAATAATCCCTGTAATTTCGGTGTGCGTCGCTAATTGGGATGTTTTTATCCAGCTAATGATAACCACCTATTATTTTGTCGCCTTCTCGCTGCAGCGTGTCCTTGATGATACGATATTGTGCGCCATTAGCGCTCACAAATGGTTATTAATGGCAGTATTTTGGATGTTTGTTCATCGGCTCCTGTCTGTCTGCGGTGTTTTGTGCCTCAGTTTCCCCCGTGCCGTGGAACCCTCAGCTGCCCCCCATGCACTGCCTGTGCCAGCCCCGCTCCCGGCCAGGGCTGCGCCACCAAAATGCCAAATTATTCCTTTTTGAAAGCAAAAATACATCCATTGTAATCATGGGCATGTCTGATAATTAAGAGAGGACAGACGTAATTATACCAGACATAGACGTTTCATTAGCTCATTTAAAAATAGTTACCATGATAACTAATTAGGTCTTTTAAATATCATTACCTAGGTAATTAAGGTGCCGTTATTAGTCACAAGAGCGGAGGGAGGCAGACCAAAGGCAGTGGTGGTTGGGAACCCGCACCAGCCCAGTGGGGTTTGTACCTGTGGGCGCTGGTGCCGGTGCCAGGGTCTCCCTCCAGGCCACCGGGCTCTGTGGGGGTCCTGGTTCAACCCAATGGGTGGTGAAACACCACACAGCACTCACTCACACCCCCTTCTTGGTGGATTAAGGGAAAGAATTGGAGGAGAGAGGTAGGAACACTCGTGGGTTGAGATAAAAGCAGATTAACGACTGAAATAAACCAAATAAACTAAAATAACAATAATAATAATGACACTAATGAATGTAAGAGCATCGATAGTAAAGCAGTCAGAGTTACACTCAGCTCACACAGCAGTCGCTGGCCATGCACCAGCAAAAAACATGAGGGAGGAGAACTAAGCCTAGGGAACTGAATGATGGGTGAGAGCCTCTGAGGATGGCAACCATCAAGGGCTGTCCCCAGCAAGCTCCCCAGTTTATAGGTTATGGTATAGAATATTTTCCATTGGCCAGCTTAAGTCATCTGTCCTGGCTACGTCCCCTCTTACCTTCTTGTAAAAAAGATGCTGGAGAACTGAAAAACAGTAAGTCCTTGACTTAATGTAAGCATTGCTGGCAACAACCAAAACATCGGTGTGTTATCACAGTATTCTCAGCACAAATCCAAAACAAAGTCTCACACCAGCCACTATGAAGAAAGTTAACTCTATCCCAGCTAGAACTCAAAGAAAGTGCCCTACCAGTTTGTTTTCACTAGACCATACCCTGCAGTGCTCTCAGAAATGCAGCTTCCGTGACTCAAACATTGACTACGATGCTGCCATGGTGAAACCTGGTGAACCTGGTGAAACCAGGGCAGCTGGGAGGGCGCGTCCTGGAGGAGGCTCCTGTGTGGCTGAGCAGTTAAAAACCGGGGATGTTTGTATCCCTGGGTGCCGAGTCACAGCCCAGGATCAGGGGTATTTGAAATTGGGGTAGAAGTGCTGAGTGGTGTCGGTCTGAGCCTGGAAAAGCAGCAAACGAGGACATCGAGCATTTCCCTAAACCTCTTTTTTCCCCTTCCTCCTGTGGTGCTCTAGGTGTGCATCGTGCAGAAGAGGGACACGGAGAAGATGTACGCCATGAAGTACATGAACAAGCAGCAGTGCATCGAGCGGGACGAGGTCCGCAACGTGTTCAGGGAGCTGGAGATCCTGCAGGAGATCGAGCACGTCTTCCTGGTCAACCTCTGGTGAGCATCCCCCGCTGCTGGGCACCAGGCACTTAAATGGCTTCACTTTAAACCTCTTCGCTTTAAACCACTTCAATTTAAACAGCTCTGCTTTAAACAGCTCCGCTTCAAATCGCTTTGCTTTAAACAGCTCTGCTTTAAACCACTTCACTTTAAACCACTTTGCTTTAAACCACTTCACTTTAAACCACTTCACTTTAAACCGCTTCGCTTTAAACCACTTCACTTCCCCTTTCCCTCAAAACCTCTGTGTGGTTGCTGGGTGTCTTCCACAGCCTCCTTGCAAACGCCCCTGTCAGGTCCCTCCTATGGAGGAGACACCCAGTGGGGTCAGAAACCCAAAAGTGATGCAAGGTGATAACACTTGGGATTCTTTTTGTTGATCCGTTACTCCGGAGTAGCCAATTAATAATTTTTTTCAACATTTTAGCAACTGCAAGTGTTTTTTTTTCCCAACAAGTAATGAAATTCTGAAGAAAACTTGGCTTCCTAGCAAATATTTCCCTTTCAGCTCGTACTTTTCGAATGAGCTTGCATCCAGGATGAGAGCAGGAGCGTGTGATTCATGAGCATTGCACAATCCCACATACTCAGAAGTGCCGGCGCCGCCAAATATAACAATTGCGCGCTGTTTTGTGGTGTATCCTCGCTGCTGTCAGTCTCCTGCGGGACCCACTGCAGATTTAGAGAGGCGTTTTACTCCACAGTAAATATAAACCGCTTCTTTCTGGTTTTCCTGGTTAAATTGGCACTCGTGTTTTCCGGTTCTTTTTTCGGGACGGGCAGAGGTATTTTAAGCATGGGGTTGGTTTACCAGATTGTTCACAGTTGAAAATAGGAGGTTTCTCTGAAGTGGCAGCGCTCGACGGCAATAGCTTAAGAACCCAGACGGCATCTTGGGTTGCGTTTGCTTGATCGGCAAGGGGTGCACACACATTTCAGTGGGAATATTTGCACTTCCTCGGGAGCTGTGTACGAGGAGAGGGAAGACCCTGACGGCTCCGCGGTCCTGCCCGTCCCCAGGTACTCCTTCCAGGACGAGGAGGACATGTTCATGGTGGTGGACCTGCTCCTGGGCGGCGACCTGCGCTACCACCTGCAGCAGAACGTGCAGTTCACGGAGGACACGGTCAAGCTCTACATCTGCGAGATGGCGCTGGCGCTCGACTACCTGCGCAGCCAGCACATCATCCACAGGTAACACA